TTTGCTGCTCTTTTCACAATAGCGAAGAGATGGGAGCAACCTAAGTGTCCCTCAACTGACAAGTCGTCAACAAAAATGTGTTATATTTACACAGTGGAGTTTCATTTAGCAGTAAAGAAAGATGAAATAATGAAATTTGCAGGTAAATGGATGGATCTAGAAATTGTTATACTAAGTGAAGTAACACAGACTTAGAAAAACAAACAACATATGTTCTCCCTCATGTGGCTCCTAGCACCAAATCCTTTTAAATTCCAGGTCCTTTTAATAAGATGCTATACAGCAGTCCCTTCTGCATGAAATAACTACCATCATAACGACTTCTGCTGAGCCTGATCACTAAACATAGTTGCAATTGGGCTTGTTGATGGTTGTGCTCATTCATTAAAGGAGTGCCAGGCAGGGTCACTGGACCCACACCTGAGTATCCAGCCACTCTTCCCAGCCAACTAGTCCAGCCTTAGAAGACAAAAGAAAAATGAGGAAGAACCCAATAGAAGGATGCTTTTGGAAGTCCTTGTCAAGAAACTCCAATGGGCTCTCATTATAAACATTTGAAAATTGCCCTGTTCTCTTTTCTAGTTCCCTGTCTAGCACTTGTAAATGCTAATTACTCTTGCCTTTACTTCTCCTTCACATCTCCCATTCATGATTCAAGGACTTTCTTTTCCCTTAGAGACAAGAGTTATGCAATTTGGGAGTCTTTTAGATAGACCCACTGAAGGGGTACTCCAATTGCTTCATCCTGCGTCCCTGTTCAGCATGGAAGAAGCCAGAGTGGTCGGCATCCCTATTCCCTATTGGCATTTGGGGTAACCTCTTCAGAGGATGGTGTGATAAGAATAGGAGGTAGGTATTGGCTAAGCAGTTAGGGTAAAAAGGCCCCCAAGAAATGTAGCCAGTTTCTTGGCTAAAAGTCAAAATGTCATTGGGCCTCTTAGCAGCATACTCTGTCCCAAGAACAAAAATGTCGAAAGTATTTGGGAGCTTGTATCTAATCCTTAAAAGATTTTAGGGTTACCTCTTCAGAGGGAGGAATGTTTGAGGGGAGGGATTGGGCATGGATTTGATCAAAATATCTTATATGCATGTATGAAATTCCCAATAAAGTTTTTGTTAAAAAAAAGAAATGGCCAAATTGTTTTCCAAAGTGCTTGTATTACATACATAGTTTTCAATTTGCAATTCTTAGCTTCTCAGTTTTAGACACTGTAACAGGTAGAGGTATCTCATTGTAACTTTAACTTTCAGTTCTCTGAAGATTAAAAATGTTGAATATTTTTTCATGTCCTTATTTGCCATTTAAATGTCTTTGATGAAGTAACTGTCCATATACTTGGCCTATTTTTAAAACCAGGTTATTGTGTTCATATTCTTATATTTTGAGAATGTTTAAAAATATGTTCTAGGGTTTGGAGAGATGGTTCAGTGGTTAAGAGCACTGGCTGCTCTTGCAGAGGACACAAGTTGGTTCCCAACACCCACATGATGGCTAACTGTCCTAACTCTGGTGGAATCCAACACCCCCTTCTAACCTCCGTTGGCATTGCACAACATGGGTGCACTTACATGCAGGCAACACACTCACATACATAAAAATAATAAAATATTAATATACTGAATTCATTTACCAGATATTTACTTTGAAAAATCATTTCTTTGAGTCTCTTATCTTCATTAATTCTCTTAATGGTGTCTTTTGAAAGGGAGAAGTTTTTGTCAAGTTTATCTTTTTTTTCATTTTATGCATTGTGTTTTTGATGGCATATCTAAAGATTATTTTGTAACCCAAGATCACAATGATTTTTGTTCTATTTGTTCTGAAATATTTATAGTATTGTGGTTTACATGTAGGTGTATATAAGTTTATATATGTGTACATACATTTAACCTATTTTCCTACCATCTGAATCTCCTTATTAGAATGGAAGCTCTGTAAAGAAAGAGACCTTCTTTAAGAGGCCAACACAGAAGGGTAAAGGAGCTTTCCATAAAACCTAGAGAAGAGATTGTACATCTCTTCTGGAGCACAACTGGGAGTTGGGGGAGCGGGAGAGAGAGAGAGAGAGAGAGAGAGAGAGAGAGAGAGAGAGAGAGAGAGAGAGAGAGAGAGTAACTCTATCTCGAGTGTGTGAGAGTGTATGTGTCTATATATATATATTATCTCCAGTGCCTGAGATAGTATCTGTCTATAAGTATTTAGTGAAGGAATATATGAATAAGAACAGATAATTAAGGATTATTTGATGTGATAACTGATCTTGATTTTCCACTTCATTACATCGAGAGTTACGTAGGAGATTAGCAGAATTCACTTCTGGATGTGTCTGTATTTGTGAGGACGTTTCCAGGGATGATTTGATCATGAGGGCTCTTACATAGTGATTAGTTTAACCCATTGATGAATTCAGATTTTGAATAGACTATTGGGAGGTGGTGGAACTGGGAAGGTGGAGCTGGTTGGAGGAAGTAGGTTGGCTGGATATATGTCTTTGAAGTGTATATCTTGGCTCTGGCCCCTTCCTACTCATCTCTTGCTTCCCAGCTACCCTGAGGTGAACATCTGTGGCCTATGCAGTATGGTCTATGTGGTAGACTATGCCCATCTACTGTGATGTTCTGCCTCATCAAGGGCCCAGAAATAGAGCCAGCCAGCACAAGTCAAATAACTATGGGCTGAAACTATGAACCAAAACAACCCTTCACCCCGTTTCACCCCTTTGGCTGGTTTTCTCAGGTTTGTCTCAGTGTTGAAAAGCTCAACACATCAGACATCCGAGAAAATCTTCCACATGAAAAAGCAGACAGACAAAAAGAAAAGGATGCATGAAGAAAATAAAGACAACATGGAAAACAGAAGAAAGCCTTTCAAAAAATATGATTAGTTAATCCAGAGAGGTAAAAGAGATTAAAACCATAAAACAAGATGTCTTGAAAAGGAATAATCATAGAACAAAAAAGAACTGGTAACTTAAAAACATATATAATAGTTTAAAAGAATTTTCTAATACTTTTCACTATCCTAACAATGAATAAAAGCTGTACAGAGTGAAAAATAAACAATTATTCTCAGATCTGTTGAGACTTAAGGACCACCACAAGGGGACAAGGCAAATACTGGGCTCATTACCATGAGAACCATGGTATGCATTGTCTCCTGGCCCTTTCTGCTGATCCTTCAGCAGCTGCAGCAACTTAACCACCTGAAGTTCTTCAGGCATGATAATAGACAACTGAACTGGTTGCACCAGTTCAGAGAGCAACTCAGTCTTCTCTTTGGTCAATGCTGAGTCTCTTCTGGTCTGAGACAAACTTCCAATTAAAGCCTGTATTCTCTCATATTTGATTCACTGAGGCTTCTGTCATCTTCACATCAAAGACCCTGTCTCTCTGGTAATATTGTCAAGAGAAGTGAGCTTACAGGGTAAATTGCTGCTTCCGATTTAGAGAGACGTGTCGAGGAATCTAGAGGATCACAGCTTAACGGATTCAGTGCCCTCTTCTGATCTCCATGGGCTTTGCACAACACGGGTGCACTAACACGCATGCAGGCAATACACTCATACACATAAAAATCATAATAAATTTCAGCATTATTTTAAAAATAACCCATCAATTCGTTTGTGCTGCCCATATATTTCTGGGTATGGTGACATCTACTGGAACATGGCTGTCCTACCAGGAGCCACATCCTTAAGGAAAGCTGACCGTCCCTCCCCCAGAGGTCATCAACTCTCTGCTGCTCTTCAGTTAAGGCTGAGGCTCGTGAACCCTTTCCCACTCCATGCCAGAATGTTGACCAGCTTGATCTTGTGCAGGCAACCATAGTTGCTGTGAATGCATGAGTGCAGAGGTCCTGCCATGTTCAGAAGACACTGTTTTGGTCCTGGTCCTCCCCAGCCTCTGGGTAGAGGGATGGGAATTTAGAGGGGAGTTTGATACTATGTCCCTTGGACTATCTTTCCAAGGTTATTTGTATAGCAGAAAAATTTATAAGAAATAGTATTTGTCTCTAGAATAGAATGTGGTTTCCAACACACTGGTTCCCTTCCTATTTTACAACCCACTGTGTGCAGATGTCACCTAGCCTTTGTCCCATGATCCCATGAATATGAGCTTAACTGCTGCAAGAAAATGCTGATACTGTAGCTGTTATGGTATTACTATGAATTAAGAAAAAAAAAACCTGTCATTTTTGAGTTTGTATTTCTGTCTATAACCATGAAACTGACAGGCTAACTCCAGCTTCCAAATAGGATTCAACCTCAGACCTTTCACAGTTGTTGGCACAAGCCCTTTTTGTTTCAAGTTACTGTTCTGAAATGGGACTGGCTGCTTGTAAATGTTACAAGCATAAGAGCCAGGCATGGTGGTGCACACCTGTAATTCCAGCCCCTGGGAGGTAGAGATAGACAATCATGAGTTTAAAGGCTACATAGTGAAATTCTAGGTCAACCTGGGCTGAATGAGACCCTGTCTTAAAAAAAACAAACAAACAAACAAACAAACAAAAAACACTTATTTAAGCACAGGTTCAAATTAGCCAATTAGCAAAGTCACTTTTTCCATTATTGATTGTGATGTTTAAATTTTTTAAAAATGTTCCCATTGTACTGTTTTATTTCTGTCTTTATTCATCAAACATTTTTACATGTCTCTTTGCTCTTAATTTGCACAGATTGTGGCATCATTAGACGCTGGACAGATCCAAAGGCATACATATGGCTGGAAGTGGAAAAGAGAGAATGTGGACAACAACCATTATCATTAGCTCCTCTCTTAAGGTAAAGGGGTATTTTGACCATTGGTTGTGAATTACAAAATTAAGAGCACCTCATGTAGAACAATACTTTAAAAGATCCTTAGTTTAAGTATCCATGGTTATAGGGAGCAGGAAGTAAATAAGCTAAATGTATTTTAAAACTAAATTATAAAAGCTTTGCACTCACAGTCGCAATCCTATTTCCCTAAATCCTTGAAAGCTGGAAATTTTCTCTCTCTTGCTTCTCTCTTCTCTCCTATAACAGAAATGGTAAGAGATTCTAGAAATAGAAAAGCAAAAGCGTGCGCCATGGGGGGAGCAAGGGTGGGGGATGACCAGAAACTGAACTGCCTAACCACAGCAGACAGTCCACCCACAGCTGTTTGTAGCTTAACCATCAGGACATTGCCCTGATATTTATCTTATGGGGTGATGGGACAAGAAATGACTATTCCATGGGAAAAAGGAAAGAGGAAGAACAAGGGTTAAGATTGGTTTTTAATCCATCCTATTCTCTGACTGCTGCCTCAAGAAACTGTCCTGTTGGCATCAGCTGTCTAGCTCTGTAACACATGCTAGTTTAATACAGCCTTAATTATCACTGGAATTTTGCATGATTCTTTTTGTTAGGTTTCTGGAATTCATGTTTCTCTCCTGTTTCTATTACTTTTCTAGACAGAGGGAGCCAATTACCTATGCTAATTTGACAAAAACAAATTCTTATGTAATTGTTGCCTTGTAATTTGTATTTGTTCAATTATTCTTGTTCTCTCTCTCTCTCTCTCCCTCTCTTTCTCTCTCTCTCTCTCTCTCTCTCTCTGACAGGGTCTCATGTATCCTAGGCTGGCTTTGAACATGCTATGGAGCTGAGGATGTCCTTGAGGATGCCTGTCCTCCTGTCTCCACCTCCCGAGCATTGAGATTATTGGTGTGTGCCACCACTCCATATCCTATATTCTTTAATATCTTTTTGCCTCTTTAAAAAAAAAAAACTAGGTATTTTTTACCTTTCATATTTTCTTTAAATTTTTATTTTATTACTTTTTGTTTTGAGACAGAGTCTCATGTAGCCCATCCTGGTCTCAATCTTGCTATGTAGGCAAGGATGGCCTTGAACTCCTGAACTTCTGATCTTCCTGCCCCTACCTCCTAAATGCTGGAATTATAGGCATGTGCCACCACGCCTGGCTAGTTTATTTTGACTTTGACCATCAGTATATTCAGTGTTCCTTAGATCAGGGCCCTAATGATCTGATGGGCTCTGGTAATACCCTCACTGACACATGAAGAGGTGAGATTTTTCAAATGCATTTTTTTGTTATCTGCCAAGAAAATCCTAAGTAACTTATCTTTACATTTCTTTACTAAACTAGTTGGTTGTTATGGATTTTTTAAAAAATATTCTCTTAAACTTTAATTTGCTAATTTCTTTTGCAACATTATTTACTAAAGATTGAACAGTGGTGTTCTTGTAGGGAGGTGAGTGGTTTTCCTTTGCATTCTACCTGTCCATTAGTTCCCTATATGCCTATTTGGTTTCTGTAGTTTGAAGTTAAGGGATGCAGGAATTTCCCTGGGCTGTGAATATGGTTCAGTTGTGGAGCACTTGCCTAGCATGCTAGGTTCAAGCCCCCGAAATGGAAAAAAAAATAGATAAGGGGAAGAATTTCCCTATGATATTGTACTGCTAATCTTTTAAGAAATACAGGAAAACAGGCTGGAAGGATGGCTCAGTGGTTAAGAGCACTGACTGCTCTTGCAGAGGACCTGGGTTCGATTCCCAGCACCCACATGGCAGCTAAGAACCATCCTTAACTCCAGTTCCAGGGGAATCCAAAGCTCTCTTCTGATCTCCACGGCACTGCATGACATGGGTGCACTCACATACATGCAGGCCATACGCTCGTACACATAAAATAAAAATAATAAATAAAATGTTTTTAAAAAAAGAAATACGGGGCTGGAGAGATGACTCAGTGGTTAAGAGCACTGACTGCTCTTGCAGAGGACCTGGGTTCGATTCCCAGCACCCACATGGCAGCTAAGAACCATCCTTAACTCCAGTTCCAGGGGAATCCAAAGCTCTCTTCTGACCTCCGCAGCATGCACAACATGGGTGCACTCACATACATGCAGGCAATACACTCATAAAATTTAAATAATAAATATTAAGAAATACAGGAAAACAATTTCTATTGTTTTTTTCTCTATTAGGTCTTAATACTATGTTGTGAGTACATTTTTACAAGTTATATTGTATTAGTCACCTTTCTGTTGCTGTGATAGAAACAGTGACCCAAGCAATTTATAGAAGTAAGTTTATTTGAGCTTAGGGTTCCAGGGGAATTACAGTCCATCATGGCAGGGAGGCATGGTGGCTGGAGGTGGCTGGAGCAGGAGCAGCAGAAGTGAAGCTCTCACATCATCACACAGGCACAGGAAGTGAGAGAGCAACTGGAGCTCTGGCAAGGCTTAAATACTCTCTAAGCCTGCCCCCTGTGACGTGCTTCCTCCAGGATAGCCACACCTTCTAAAACCTCCCAAAACAGTGCCATCATCTGGGGACAAAATGTCCAAACACTTGGAGCCTATGGAGGACACTTACATTCAAACTACCACATATATATTTGCAAATAATTATCATTTCATAGATTGTTAATTAAGTTGAACTTTGCAATTTGCCGTCTCCATGGTGAAGATTTTCCTTTTTCTTTAAAAAATCTGGATCAGCTAAATGTTTTTATTCATTTCTGTTTAAATCTGTATTTCCTTCTGTGTGAGGTTTTCTAGTGTTAAAGAATACTGATAGATGGGTCTGGAGAGATGGCACAGTGATTCAGAGCACTGACTGCTCTTACAGAGGACCTGGGTTCAATTCCCAGCAGCCACATGGCATCCAACAAATGTAACTCCAATTCCAGAGCATCTGACCTCCACGGGCTTTGCACAACACAAATGCACTTACATACATGCAAGTGCTACACTCATACACATAAATAAATAAAATATTTTTTAAAAAGAATACTGATAGAAAGCCAGGCATGGTGGTGCACGCCTTTAATCCCAGTTCTGGGGAGGCAGAGGCAGGCAGATCTCTGTGAGATCAAGGCCAGCCTGGTGTACATAGCAAGTTCCAGGTCAGCTGGGGCTACACAGAGACGCTGACTCAAAAACAAAACAAAAAAATAGTGATAGATATTACCACTATTACATATGCAGGAAAGTTATTATATATTTCTACTTATAATGTATAAATAAAAGGAAGCAAGTTTTTAAAAACTATACCACTCTTCAGAGCCTTTAATATGCTCCAGTGTAAAATCCCCCCAAAAGACAAAATAGTGCCCAGTGTCTTCTAATCATAGCTGGTCTGTCTTGTTTTGTGGTGCTGTGGATTGAACCCAGGGTACATCCTAGAGTGGTACTAGTTATGGGAGGATTGAGAAAATAGTCACTTTTCTTTGTTCTGTAATTCAGCAGGCCTGGTTGAGAATGTTTCTCTGGAGAGTGCTTCTCCAAGGTGCTTTAAGTACTAGTATCAGCATCATCCTAATCCAATTTCAGGGATTGAAATGGTTTGAAGCTGGCTGCAGTCCCGTGAGAGCTGCTCTACTTTTGTCAAAAGCTCTGCTCCCCTTTCTTCTCCCTCTTCTTGAATTGGCAGATCCCCTCAGGGAAGAAATGGCCTAAATGTTGGGGTCATATCTTTGAATTTCTGTATAATGTTTGCCTTATAATTTCTTACTATCCTGCTAGCTCTGTGAGGCATTTGTACAGAGTTTTTTTTTTTTTCAAAGTGTCATTTTTCAAGTTGCCTTCAGCAGGAGAGTTGGCCTAAATTACTTAATCTGCCACTGCTAGAAACAGTGTACAATTTAAAAACTACACAAGAAAGCACCATGGTTTCTTACAGCCAGGATAAGCTGTAAGTAGGAAGGAGAGTCTATTTTAGATCATGTGCTCAAAGTATATTGTTCCAAAGGAAAATATAAACTCAGTTTAGGTAAGGGATGTGTGTATGTGGGTACATGGGTACAAATTGTACATGGGTACAAATGTCCATAAACACAAGTGCAGCCGAGGATGTTGATGTTCTGCTCTGCCAGCTTTTTTTTTTTTTTGAGACAGGGTCTCCCTGTAGCCCCAGCTAACCTGGAACTCACTATGTAGACCAGGCTAAGAGATCCATCTGCCTCTGCTGGGATTAAAAGCATGTGCCACCACGCCCAGCAGTATCCTGTACTTTCTTAAGACAGAGTCTCTGAAGCTAGGCTGGTGGCCAGCAATGCTGGAGTTATAGGTATGTGTGTGGCCATGACTAGCTTCTTACATGGGTGCTAGGGATTTGAACTCAGGTCCTAATGCTTGCCCAACAAGTACTTTTACCCACCGAGCCATCTCTCCAGCCCTTAGGTAATGGGCTATTTTTTTTTTAAACTTTAAAAAAAGTTATTTTTATGTGTGTGTATTGCCTCTATGTAGGTAAGTGCACCTGTATCATGTAATGCCTGCAGAAGTCAGAAGAGGCTGTTGGATCCCCTGGGACTGGAGTTACGGACAGTTGTTAGCTGTCATGTGGGTGCTGGGATTAGAACCTGGGTCTTCTGCAAGAACAACCAGTGTTCTTAACCACTGAGCCATCTCTCCAGCCCCAGTAATGTTTTGTTTTTGTTTTTTTTATGTAGAGACTAACAGTTTCAAGTTCTGACAAATTAGGAACTATATTAACCACTTATATTTCAGTATTTGACTGATCTAGTTGTTTGGGTAGAATAGCAAATGAGGTGATTTTTTTATGGTTAATATTTAAACCAGGATACATTAATGCTGTCTCTATATGTTTTATGACTCATCTTCTTAAAGTATACTAAAGTAACTGTAAACAGATGATTTGGAAAACTTTGCTTGTCATCTAACTGGTATTCTCTGTGTACCATATGGTTCTCTCCACCATTAAACAACACCCAGCATCTTCCAGTTAGACAAATACATGTAAGAATCCATTGCCAAATAGTTTCTTCACACTAAGGCTGAATCTTCCCTAGTTCTCACAGTTTAGTTCTTTAATACTGCCCCTTAATTTTTGTCCCTAAATAACATTAACTGGGGACTGGAGAGATGGCTTACCGGAGGACAAGTTCAATTCCCAGTTCCCACATGACCGCTAACCCTCCATAACTTCAGTTCCAGGGAATATGATGCCCTCTTCTGACCTCAATTGCATGACATGGGTGCACTTACAAACACGTAGGCAATACACTCATACACATAAAATAATTTAAAAAAAAATTTTTTTTTGGTCTTTTAAGATAGAGTCTCCCTGTAGCTCCAGCTGTCCTGGAACTCACTATGTAAACCAGGCTGGCCTTGAACTCACAGACATCTGTCTGCTTCTGCCTCCCGAGTGCTGGGATTAAAGGCGTGCACCACCAAGCCCAGCTAAAATAAAATATTTTTAAAAAAATAACATTAACTGTAGTATATGAATTCATTTCCAAACTTACAGTTTCAGAAATTCCTCTTTTTTTTCAAAGTGCGTTTCTCCAGACAGCAAATTTGCTTCGATGACCAAATTTTTTTCTTTTCCCATTTTTTTTTTTTTATTCTTTGAAAATTTCTTACACACGTGCTATGTATACTGATCATATCTACTTCCCACTCCCCCTTCCAAACCCCTTGGGGCCCACCAACCATCTCCCTCCCAACTTCAAATCCTTTATTTTGTTGTGTAGCCCATTCAATCCAGCTAGTGCTGCCAGTATGTCCATGGGTGTGGGGCCATCCACTGGATCACAGGCAACCTACCAGTGATCACACCCCCAAAGAAAAGTGACTCTCCTCCAAACAGTCACTAACAGCCTCCTCAGGGGGTGGAGTCTTGGGAACCTCGCCCCATCCATTCAGGAATTTTAACTGGATTGATTTTATGCAGGTCTTGCACAGATAACCACAGCTGCTGTGGGTCCATATATGCAAGTCATGTCATGTCCAGAGGACAGCATTTCACACCAATCCTCCTCATCCTCAGGTTCTTACATTCTAGCTGTTTCCTCTTCCTGATGTTTCCAGAGTTATTGGGGTGGGGGTGTTGATACTGATGTCCCATCTACAGCTGAGCACTCAGAGGCACTTATTCTCAGCACTTTGACCAGTTATTAATCTCTGCATTAACCACTGTCCACTGCAAAAAGAAACTTCTGTGACCAAGGTTGAGACCTGCCCAGATCCGTAAGTATAACTGTACATATCTAGACGGTAGATTGATAATATGTCCATTTAGCAAAACAGCAGTCATAGGTTCCTCCTAGGGCCAAGGATCTCTCTAACCATGGGTTTTTTACCAGGTTTACAGGATGACCAAATTTTTAAGTGGTATAGTTATAAACCATTAAACTCCTTTTCATTTTTCAGAAACTATAATAAAAACTATTGTTGGAATTTCTTATGTTTGTATTTCTTGAAAATTCTTTTAAGAGTTATGAAATTGCAGCTGCTCTAGAAAATCGAAGCCACAAGGTTCGGTATTCAGATACGCTGGAAAGTGGATCAATTGTATTTTCTCTTTCTGGTACAGTATATTTACTAATTGCCTTTACTTAAGTTTCTTGTAAAATTTGTGGATGTAAATTCTAATATTCTTTGCAATTCACTGGCAATATAATAACTTAAGGTACTATCTTTTGGAAGCCATAAATGTGTTACACTTTGTTCTTGCTGCAAAAGCAATGCAAAGCATATGGCCAAACAAAAGAACTGATCCACCTTAGGTTACAGTGGAGTCTGGGATGGATAGGAAAAGCTCCTTGCTCTGCAACTAAGGTGAAAATAGAAAAATTCACCTTCTCAACAGTCAGTTATTGTTAATGGATACAAACATATCCATGGATGAAATTTACATATAAAATATGTATTTTCCCATTGTTTTATATGAAGATTTATTGAAAAGAAATAACATTAAAGAACTTTATGGGGACAAGTAAATGTTCCTCAAGTTATAAGCCTGTGTGCCTGAGTCATGGACAGGGTACAGGAATTAGATTAGGGTAAGAGGATGCTGGGGATATGGGAAGGGGCAGCTCCATCTGTCTGGAAAATAACAAAAGTGATAGAAGAGGCAGAGGTAAAGGGTTTGATCAGGCTGAGCATGGTAACACAGGAGCCAATAGTCCCAGCACAGGCAGTGCAAGGACAACCTGAACTATGGAGTGAGATCATCTCAAAAACAGGAGTGGAAAAAAAGGAGAAACCTCTGATTCTATCAAGAAGCTTGCTACTCTAGCAGGGGTTTTAAAAGGCAGGTGCTTTTAGACTCTTCTAGAAATAGACCTCCATGCTGAAAGGAATCCAGGCCCCAAATCATTCTCCCTTGTTAAATAAAAAGGACTCCAGGGAGAAGTGACCTATATGTTTTAGTCACCTTCTGTACATTGTTTAATCCTCTGACAGGCCTAAGAAAAGAGTTACTCTTTCCATGTTATAGAGGAAGAAACTTACATTCAGAGGTTATATAAGATGCCCAGATTCATTCAGTTATTATATAATCACATAGCTACTTTCCATAGATTAAGTCTTATCTACACCTTTTCAAGAACTATAATTAAACCCATTTCCCTTCAAGACCATTCTGATGAGTCTAGCACTATTTCAGACACCTCGTATCTGTTCATTTGCATATGCTAATTTACACAATTCCTTATATCCTTGTAGAAAGGTTTCTCCAGTAAGAAATAATTGAAGATTTGCTTAAAATGACTTTTCTTGATTTCTAGCTTTTGAAAGCAGGGTCTTCTAAGTTGCTATACATGTAAAGTGGTTGGCTGGGGGAGGACACTGACACTTTCCTAGACACCTGCCCCTGTGCATCTCTTCATTTGACTGTTTATCTATATGGAATATCCATTCTAAGCCAGTGAATGTTTTCAAAAATTTTTAAACGTGATAGGTTTTTTTTTTTTTTTTTTTTTTTTTTTTGAGACAGCTTCACTATATAGTCCTGGTTAGTTAGACTGGTACAATGTAGCCCAGGGTAACCTTAAACTCACCCTGATTCTCCTGTCTGTCTTCCAAGTTCTGCGATTACAGATTTACACCACCAAACCTGGCTTAAATGGTTAAGGTGCTTTTTAGTCTGAGCAAAAAAGGTTACCAACAATTATTTTTCCTTGAAATATTTAGAACAACTCACATCAAAGAACTACTTGAATCATCATAAGGATTGTAATAATAAATTCTCTTTTTTGTTGTTTTTTGAGATAGGGTCTTCCTGTAGCCCTAGTTGGCCTGGAATTCACTATGTAGACCAGGCTGGACTTGAACTCACAGAATTCCATCTGCCTCTGCCTCCCAAGTGCTGGGATTAAAGGTCTCTACCACCTCGTCCAGCCCCAATTGCAGTAATAAATTCCATTCCTTATGAGTTTGGGGAATGACATGATTATAGCTCTTTTATTGATCATATTGAATTTACAAAATTTTCTTCATATGACAAATACATGAAATTTACTCTGTATGACTATGTTACATTCACCTTTCCTAGGAGTTGCATTTTTATTGATGGATGCTAAAGAATGCATTACAGTAGCTGAGGAAATATTTCTAACCAAAATTGAGAAGTTTATTAACATTCACCAGAATAGTTTCTTGGTTCTGTCTGCCCCACTCCATGGGCCTGAAGAGTGCAATCTCATGTCCAGGATTCAGCAGAGGTATGAACACTTAGTTTTCTTATGCTGTTCTAGGTTTACTTCAGTTCTTAATGCTTTTAGGCAGGTGAGTTTTGTTTTTCTAGAAGATAAACTTTATAACATTAACCTGTCATATTTAATGAAACAGGCCAGACAGCTGTTCTGTAAATCAGGATGACTAACATTCACGTTGATTATGGGCTTACTCTGTAAGAGTAAACCAAAGTGAAGATTTGCTAAGTTCTGGCTCTAAAGCCACCTCAATCTGTGGCATAGTGCAGGGCATGGATAAATAAACACTGTAAAAAATAGAGCTCTGTCTCTTCTTTACACTTAAGTGAACAAATGTCAGCTATAAGATGCACCACTTCTTTTTTTCAGATTCTTGGGAAGTAATTTGCGGATACTTCCAGTACACAACACAGTGAATGCTGTTGATCTTATGTGCACTATAGCTAAGGTAAGTTACCCAGGGAAAGATATGCTTATACAAAGATATGTATCTTGGCCAGAAGATTTTAAATTTTTTATATTTCCAGTTGTATACTGTTTGAGGGTTGTCAAATACTCTTCTCTTCAACTTTTTCTTTCTCAAGCCTGAAGTCTTCTCAGTTTACTTCTGGTAAGCCACCTATTTATGACTAATTTTCAGGGGGTAAAAAACAGTTTGCCATAAATACATTGGCTGGTCCTGTTATTTAATCTTCCTTCAAATTCTAAAGTATAAATACTGGATTATAGTCATGGTCTGTTTAGGCAGAGATTTTATGGAATGTTCTTTACCAATTCACTTTCCTCCCATGCTTGCCCATCCTCTGAAGCATGCCCAGACACCCCAACTCCTGCAGGCTGTGTCAGGTCCTCCTTGTTCTTACATCTGGAGCACATCTCCACTAAAGCAGTTCTAACCCTATTATATTTTTTGACTTGCATTTTGGAAATTCCTTGTAGGTGAGTTCAAGTACTTTCTTCTCTATAATTCACACATATTTTAAGCACATAGATATCAAGAGGTATTTGCCTAATGAATTATTTTTGATATGCTCCTACAAAAAAATATTGTTTCTGTAAATAATACTCCATGTTTACATCTTCTTTCAGACTACCTCCAAACCAAACATAGACAGCATCTGCTATAGGATGATAGCAACTAAAGCTTACATCATAGAGCAAAGTCCTGTTTGGAAAACGCTTCAAAAGATAAAATTGAATACTGATTCAGTTAGCCCAAATTCAGAGTATCAGTTATAAATGTCCTTTTGGAAGAATATGAATATATTCCTTTTAAGTTACAGTGTTCAAATATATATAAGTGTTTATATTAATTTACAATAATAATATGCATACAATTAAACATTTTATATTTTATATGTTGGTTGAGTGATTCCTTTAACAGTGTTTAGAAAACAATTGGTACAGAGGTAGGAAGTATAGCTTAGTGGTGCAGTGCTCACCTAGTATGTGCAAGACCCTGGGTTAAAGCTCCAACACTACAGAAAAAATAAAGAGAAAATAACTGGTATATATATATAAAACTCAAATCAGTTTCTTACCGATACAAATAAAGTTGGATGTACAAATATAGTAGGAAATAAAACTACAGAATTTGCTAATTAGTTCTTTGAACTAAAGGAAAAGCCATGTATTTTTTTTTTTAGGTTTTTCATGAGAATAGCTAATATTCTAAAATTAATTTCTGTTGATATTTTCATTCTACAACTGATTTTTTTTTTCCAGTTTTTAGTTTTTATAAGGCTGGCTTTGACATACTGTATGACTAAGGCTGGCCTTGAATGCCTAACCTTCCTCCCTCTACCTCCTAAGTGCTAGGACTACAAGCAGGTACCACATACATTTTGATTTCCTTAAGATTGCTTCCAAGGGAGGAAAAGGGAGGGAAGCTCAAAAGACAACAAAACAAACAAAAAAAACCAGTCAACTGTTCTGAACTCAGACTTTCAACATTTTTGCAGGGGTGATATCCAGGCTGACACTCTGAGCTCAGTGCTACAAAGCACCCAACAAGCAGAAAATGCGTCTGGTTTTCTGGGGGTTTTGTTTGCTTGCTTGTTTTACAAATTTGCTACAACTATAAGGACAAAGCATTTTGACTACATTTCATAAAATTATAAAACAAAATTGTTGGCTTGTATTGGATCTTCAAAAGCAGTACTTGAGCCTTTTAAAAGCAAAGACTACTTAACTACTGATCTATGTGGCATACAAACTGGCAAGTGAAAACCTGCATTTCCAGCAATGAGTTTTTGCAAAAAAAAAAAAAAAAATGTTTTTTAGAGATATTAAAGTATACCAGAAAACAAAGTATTTTGCTAGTTTCTATTTATGAAATCAAACCTTTACTTTATTCTATCTAACATTCTCTTCAGAGGTAGACTTTGTTTTGATTTCAATGAGTTCTTCTACTCGAGCCAGAACACTTTCAATCAAATCAAATGTGAAAAGAGCTGAATTTAGGACCTGAAATGCCAAAAAAGAGTATTATTATTGTCCTTTTCGAGACAGAATCTCACTGTGTAGCAAAGACTGGCCTCAAACTTGCAATGTTCCCAGGCTGACATAGATGATCCTCCCTGTCTACCTCCCAAGTGCCAGGGTTGCAGGCCTGTACCATCATACTCAGTAGAATTAGTGCTATTAATGTTGCCTTTAAAAGAAAGCATAGAATAGATTTCAGGCTGGCTGTAGTTTAAAAAATTTTGGGTCACCTTGAGTTGCATTTCAGGAGGCATATTAGGGATCTCTTGTCCACTGACAGTTAGAGAACAAACATCCTTACACATTGGGGCTACTGTAAGAGAAGGAAAAAAAAAAATCATGTCATTTCAACAATCATTACAACAGTTCTCAGATTTTCAACACTGTTGTGTTTGTGCATGAGAGAGAGAGAGAGAGAGAGAGAGAGAGAGAGAGAGAGAGAGAGAGAGGGAGAGAGAGGCAGCTTGCCACCTCTCCTAACAATATATGGGCTCTGGGGCGCTAACTCAGGTTGTTAGGCTTGGGGCAAGTGCCTCTGCATGCTGAGCCATTGTGTCAGCACTCAGATTTTAATAATACACTTATAAGCTACTTAATCATTAATTTTAAAATTTCAGTTATTTGTGTTGATTATTAAATGTTATTGTTTAACACCTCAGGTAATGTTTGTTATAAACAAAATTAAATACTAGGATTATACAATATGTGAACTGATGATTCTTTAGAAAAGCAACTTTATTTTGGCATGTACAGGATCTACGAAGCTTTTTTTTTTTTTTTAGTATATAATTGGAATTACACCCATTATGCTTAAAAGACAAAACTTTTATACAGGGATTGTAAGATTATCATTGCAGAATGCTGACTTCAAAAAGTATTGCTGGCTTTTACTCATGTATGAAACTGTCAAAAAATTAAAGTAATTCTGAGTCTAAATTTCTTTTTCATAATTTGTACAGATTACTCTGGAGTAACTGAGGATCACCCTAAGGGGGGGCACTCAAATAAAAAGAAGTAGGGAATGCTTGCAATGTGCTGGTTCACAACAAGAACTTGAGGCTTTATATGTTTCAACTTGTTTTAAATCTTCATTAACCCAATTTCACTATTAATTGGCTAAAAATCATTTTAATTATACACATATAGCTGTTTTGGTCCTTCATTTGACATAAAGTAAGCATGTACCAAAAATGTAAAATTTCCAAAATTTGAGTCTTATTTAGATCTAATTGAAAACAAATTACATGTTACTAACCTTGGCTATTTCCTAGGCTGTTTTTAATTTCTGCTTCATAATGTGCTTTTGACATATTAAGTCCTATATGAAGTGGCTTTAAAAAATTATTCTCAATCTTTCCAAGTTCTGTCCATAATCCAGTCTGTTTAGAAGATTTAATGAACAAATTAGTTATTAGGTTCAACACATACCAACTGCCTTCTGTTACCAAACATGCCCTGAGAATGGGAGAAATAGGGATGATTATAACATTGTCTCAACTTTGTAAGGCAGTATCGCATCAGTTATGGTATATGAGTACCAGTCAGAAGTGCCAATAAACAAGTCAGGTGTGGTGGCACACGCCTTTAGTCCCAGCACTCAGCAGACAGAGGCAGGTGAATCTGTGAGTTCAAGGCCATCAAGGCCAACCTGGTCTACATAGCAAGTTCCAGGTCGGCTGGGGTCTCCCCCCCAAAAAAAAAAAGTACCAATAAACAAAATATACAGAGAGCACTGCATTCATTACTGCTCCACTTGAATAGCTCCTGGTTTATCTATGACAAAATTAACCAGTAATAATCTATAGTTTTTCTTCATCTATAAACCATCTCCATGGTGACTCTACCTTAAACAGGCTTCAATGCTAGATTAATTTATATGCTTGCCATAGATCTAGTTCTAGATTTGGTCTGTCTCCTATTGATGGAGGCTTTTGTAACAAAGCTAATTTGAGTTTTCTTGATGACCAAGGTAGATGGTCAGTTTAGCATTATTTTGTCATATCTCTGAGAAAAAATGATTTCAAGATCATTTCCACTCTGTAGGACATTAAAGGAGGGTAGTAACAAGGTTTTGATTTTATTTTCTTAAAAGGAAAGAAACCCGTTGGTATTTTAAGGGTTCCAGGTATTCTTTACACCAGAAAGTTTATTTTATAAAGGGCACTCAATTATCCTTAACTGTAGCAATGAGATGGAACATGGAAACTTATTTTGTAATGAGCTTATTTTGACCCAAGTAATACAGTCTTTTGCCTATAACCTTCCAAAAGAAATCTACACATATTTGTGGAACAACTGATAAAAATAACTTCACACACTCCTTTCAATGAAATCTTGGTGGAGCCTATACATTGTTGGTAGGAATGTAAATTAGTCCAGCCACTTTGGAAAATCAGTATGAAGATTCCTCAAAAAAAGCTAAAAATAGAACTCCCATAAATCAAAGTCAGCATCCAGTAGCAATACCCACACATGTTCATTGTGACTCTATTCATAAAGCTGTGGTGTGCATACATAATGGAGTATTATTCAGCCATAAAGAATGAAACCATCATTTGCAGGAAAAATAGATAAAGCTAGAGATGTTAAGTGAAATATGCTAGATTCAGAAAGACAAATACTTCATGTTAATCTCATGCAGAATCCAGATTTTTAAAGAAAAAGGCATAAAAGAACAAGAAGGACTATTTGGGAGGAGAGAAGGAATAGTGTGAGGGATGAAGGGAACAAGAAAGGGAGAACGGGGGTGACTATATAGGCTATGACTGAACTAGCCTATATGCACTTATGAAAATGTCATTCTGAAACCCACTGTTTTGTCAAATAATATATGCTGATTAAAAAGGCAGAAGACACATTAAAAATTTATCTTATACTACTAGGAAATGTAGAGGGATAAAGAGAAATGATATGAATTTGAAATTTAAAAATATTCCTACCTACTCAGCATTTATGAACTTATTCTAGAAAAATAATTAAAAATATATTTTGTAAATATATATATATATTGTAATTATTTCATTGCAGAGATTTTTTTTAAAAAACACTGTTTAGGGGCTGGAGAGATGGCTCAGCAGTTAAAGATCACTGAATGCTCTTGCAGAGGACCCGGGTTTGATTCCCAGCATCCACAT